TAATTTTTATTTTTCAAACAAAAACACGACTCTTTTTTTTATTTATGGGTTAGCCTTATAAATATAGTATATACTAAAAATAGCTGTGTGTGTGTGTGTGTGTGTCTGTGTGTCAATTGAATCATACAACTGATTCACTACTGTTTTTTCAGTAGTGTATGGGAAGGGCAGGTGTGAACAACACACACACAGACACACACACACACACACACACACATAGACACATACATTCAAAAAGCTAACAGTACTTAAACTATAAGTACTTTAATGTATATATATATATATATCTTAAGTATAGATCTGGAAAAATAGTATGTATTGAAAACATTGGATGAAATAAAAGTGACTTTTTTTGGATGATTACCACACTGTGTGTGTGTGTGTGTGTGTGTGTGCGGTAAGGTCTTACCGGTGCTGATACTGTATATACAGTGTGTGTGCGCTGACAATGATTAGGATGAAGGGGTCAACTCATGTGAAAAATTTACTTTTCAAGTATTACTTATATAATGATAATAATACCAATAATAGTAATAATAATAAAAAAAAGTGATATATATTTATCATGAAATTGAGACATATTTGTTGTTAAACTTATATATATATATTTTTAAAAAATGATTAATTTGATATTATATATATAGAAAAAAATATTTATTATATATATATAATTTTACAGATGAACAGACAAATTATAAACTCATCAATTAAATGATAATAAATCAAAAAATTTATTATATCATATAAACCGTATATATTGTATATTATAAAAAAAATATGTTTTATTATTTCTATTCAATTATTATTATTATTGAATTATTATAATTCATTACAGATTCATAATTGTTGTCACAATTGTTGAATAGTAGGTTTTCAGTCAAAACATAGGATATTATATTAATATATATATATATATGTATAGAAAAATATATAATGCCATTGAAAATCAAATACTATTATCAATAATAAAAACATATGATATTATTATTATTATTTATATGTATACACACAATATAAACTAATATCCATAAAACGGTGAAAAATTTATATATAAATACTTGCATATTATTGTATATATATATATATTGTTACACAAAATAGAAGAGAGAGAGAGAGAGAGAGAGAGAGAGAGCAAAAAAATATCATTGATATGTGTTTAAAAATTCACAAATTTTATATATATATTATATTATATTATACACACACACTTGGCTATGGACTATGGCCTTGTTTGTCAACAAATTGTTATATATATATATATATATATATATATATAT